TGGTCAGCGGCTCAGGCTGACTGGGCTGACACGTGTCTGACACGTGTCTGACACGTGTCTGACACGTGTCTGACACGTGTCTGACACGTGTCTGACACGTGTCTGACACGTGTCTGACACGTGTCTGACACGTGTCTGACACGTGTCTGACACGTGTCTGACACGTGTCTGACACGTGTCTGACACGTGTCTGACACGTGGCTGACGTGTCGGCTGACGTGGTACGCGCGTGTATTACACGCGCCTTCCCCCACTCGTCTTCTTCCTCCGTCAGCGCGTGTGGCGCGTGGATGAGAGTGGGACCACGCGCCGGGTGCCTTAACGGCGCGTGGGGGCGCGTGTCGAGACTGTGGCTCACGCGCCAACTTCTAAGAGCGCGTGAGGGCGCGTGGAGAGGTTTCTGGGCTCTGTTTTTGCTGTTCTGGACTCCTCTCCTCCTGACCTTCCTCCTGGTATGCTCAGAAGTGGATTTCGACCACTTCGAAATCTGGACACTTTCGGAAAAAACTCGATTTTTCTCCACCCGGGCTCTGATACCAATTGTTGAGGATCGGGGGCACACCAGGGAACTCAAACAAGCAATAACACACAAGTTTTAACGTGGTTCGGCAAGTCGCCTACGTCCACGAGCAGCGGATTCACTATATTGAACAAAATGGTGAATTACAACACTCTCTGTAATTCTCTCTCTCTTTGCTCTCAACTCACACCTCTCAGCTCCACATCTGATATCTATATCCTCTCCCTCCCGTCTCTATTTATACACAAAGGAGTAGGTGGGAGAGCCCTCATTCTTTGACTTTTGACATGGTTGGTGGCCTTCCATTGTTGACATGAGGATCACCCCTTTCACATGGGGTGACCTCCAGAATCTGCAGCCAATTCAACAATTTCCAGCCACTATCTTTCTTCCTGTCATTCGAAGAGCCAATAAGAATTAAAGACATAGAAATGTGGGCATGGCATTTTCAAAATTAATTCATTAAACAACAAACACCAACTTTACCGATATGTTTATGCCCAAGAAAAGTCAGGTACACAGAATTCAATCTATATTGAATGCTCACATGGGTGCATGTGAATGTTGAATTTTTTGTATGTAAAAGTGAATCATGAATCTATTTACATTCCTAAAAACAAATTAGTTTATGTTAAATGCTTACCCATGAGCAAGGGAAAGACTGGAAGCTCAAGTGGCTTCTCTGGTGCACCAACCAAGATGAGCTTTCCATGAGATTTCAACAGATCAATCAATGTTAGGACAGGGTGAGATGCAGAAACAGTATCTATGATACCGTCCATTGTGCCCATAGCAACCTATTTACATAATCAACAAGAAAATAAGTATCTAATCAAGAATACCCGAGAATTTGTAATCATAACAATATTCTTAACTTGAAAAAATCTTATGAGCTACCCAATATACGAGAGTCCTGCTAGAGTGGGGTAGAGGGTAAAATGTACCCCAAAAAAAATTTCTCCATTTTTGGAAAGTGTTTCCATGACTTGGGAAAAAAAAAAAAAAAGGGCCGTTACCTGCATCTGATCTGGGTCATGGCTAACCAAAAATGAATCTGCACCAAGTCGTTCAACAGCTTCCTTCTTCTTGCCAGGGGAGGTACTAATCACTGTTACTTTAACACCTAAAGCCTTGGCAAATTTCACAGCTGCATGGCCAAGACCACCAAGACCAACCACACCCACCTGCATACCAGGCTTGTCGAGTCCAAAGTATCGTAGAGGGCTATAAGTTGTGATTCCAGCATAAAGAAGAGGAGCACAGGCTTCAAGAGGAAGGTTGTCGGGGATGCGAATCACAAAGTGCTCATCAACCACCATGATATCAGAGTAACCTCCATAGGTTGGGGTTCCATCATAGTATGTGGAATTGTATGTGAGTAATACTTTGGGACAATAGTTTTCAAGATCTTTGGCACAACCGTTGCAGAAATGACATGATCCAACCATACACCCCACCCCAACTTTGTCCCCAACTTTAAATTTTTGTACTTTTCTACCCACCTCAGTTACTACACCCACAGTCTCATGTCTGCATTTATCAATTCAATAGACACATATCAAATTGTATTAACTAAGGAGTACGGAGTAAGCATTTTCATGTCCATTCATATATAGGATTTCATTAATTAATTGATTAGAGTTTCATCATCCAATCACTGGAACTCAACAGTGTGCATAATTGAAGAACTCGCACGAGACCTGTTGGATCCCATCGCTATTGATGCTATGGGAGTCAATTGGGAAAAACTTGTTTGACATAAAAATAAATAAATTATATACCAAAATTTATATCTATAAAGGGGCTAAATAAGAAATGGGTCGGACCCAAGCCTTGGGCCGGTCCAACCCACCAAGCCCAAATCCAAATAGGTCAGATGAGCATGTGGGTAACCCAACTAAGCCTAGTTCCGTTACTAACAGTCCACCCAAGTCCTCAAGCACTTGGGGCCTAACTTGCAGTGGAAAGGCCAGTCCAGCTGTGATACTGGGCTAGGGCCGAGCTGAAGGACCCATTCTATGGGCCGAACTGATGGGTTGAACCCATCATTAGAACCAAAGTAGACCGAATGCATACACAAATATCTGAATGGGCCAGCCTATCCCAACAGAAGCCTTGCAAAGGGCTGAGTCGGGGTACTACGGTGCTGAGCTGAGGGAAACTCTCGAAGAAACGTGGAAGTTATGAGTATATGCATGTGCAAGTTGCCACCTCAACTAGTCCCCTATACCTAGAATCACAGAAACAGTTAAACAAAAGGAATGTGATTTGTTATCAGCATGACTACAATAAGTATAAGCACCTTTTGACAACTATCAGATGGTCCCCCACCGAGGGCCAAGCTAAAGGGAAACTGGGCAGCACCAGAGCTCCATGAAACCATCTTGGGAAACAAGTAAGGAACTCTATATATACTACATAAACTTCACATTGAAAGTAACTGATCTAAGCTAAACCCTACTTACTTACAAACTCAACTCTCTACATTTCTTCCCCGATCATTGATTCCCACACCGGAGGGGTTATCCGGCCAACCCCGGCCGGGCAGCTCTTACAGTGCTTCTTGCTGCAGGGACCTCATTCCCTGGATAGTCCAACCAAGTGCGGAGTCCCGATTCACTTTCATCTAGTACGGTATCCGGTACGCACAATCTAAAAAAGTGAACACAACTTGTAAATTTTAGCTTGGTGTGGTATATCCTGTCAAATAAGTCTAATTCACACATTTTAAATTTTAAATTCTTATTTGAATAAACATTTAGAATTCGTAGAATTGCTACATCTTAAATGACATTTACAATATAACATTATAGATGCACCAAATACATAAAGTGGTAAACAAAACACAGAAAGTGATACAAATCTCTTTGTATCCTTGGGTTGTTTGATAATTCAGATAAAGTTCATCCTTTTTAAATTTAAATCAAAATTCGCAATTATGGTCTATAACTACAAAAAAAAAAAAAAAAACATTAATAAAGTTTTTTTGTTGTTCAAAAAAAAAAAAAAAAATACTACTACATATGAAAAATCAGAATGCCAATTGTATACTTATTAAATGTTTAGAGTAGAACACATAGAGAAATTGCATGCAATCATACCAGGTAGGGAAGGATAGCTAGTGTTGCCCCATTCATTTTTGATTATGTGAAGGTCAGAATGACAGATCTTACAATACAATATTTTCAACGTCACGTCTTTTTCCCCAGTCACCCTGCCACACACAAAACAATTATGCTCAATTAAGATCGATAAATACACATTTTGTTTGGTGTCATTTTCACAATATGTTTTTTGAAAGACACTAAAAATTAATTTGATGAAAAAAGAAAAAACACTCATCATATTCTTTCTTCTTCGTCTTTTTATTTTTTATTTTTATTTGTATTTTTATTTTTATGGTGCAAAATAATTTTCAAAGTAATAAACATATCATGTCAGTGTTTATATTCACTGAACTAGAAAATTTTCGATTAAACAGTACCACATAATACTATATCAGAATCCAAATAAAGAGAATAGTAATAAATTAGCTTCTGGAGAATTTGAAAGGAAAGAGGACACCCTGTGTGTCTCTTGCTGCCCATCCAAAGGCCTCCACTGGGTGTGATTTTTCCATGATCTACCTCTTGTTTTCACCACTAGATTGATTGAATATGTAAATAGAGCGACAGAGAGAGTTATGTAATTTATAGAGAGAGAAAGAGAGCTACTGCAAAGCACTGACTTGTGTGTTGAAGGAGTTTCATAGCTATATATTGGGGCTATTTGCTACGACTTATAATATTCTTCTTTTTTTTTTTTTAATTTTAAAATTAAAATCGCAAGGAATAATTTTGACTTAAATTTTTTAATTATTAATTTTTTATTCATGATAGGTCTATTAACTTTGGCTTCTTATAGGACTGTTATAAATTAAAATAATTCAAAAGTACTTATCTCATAACTTTTTAGTAATTAATTAATTTAAATTAAACAAAATTATAAACAACTCAAAACTGGCCCGTATAGAGATAGGTGGGGGATGAGATGACTTTGTCGGTAGGTTTGGCAATTCTAAATGTCTTTCATATGGAAATGGAATAAAGTCCTTGACTTCACCGTCCCCATAGCAGTAGTGGATCTACTTTCAGATTCGATTGAGAATATTTGGATGCATTGCATTTTTTAGCCAGCCTTCTAAACCTGAAAACTTAGCCCCGTTTGGAGACTTACTTTTTTAGTCAATTAGTCAAAAAATTATTAAATTAGTCAAAAAGTCAATAATTCATACCAAAAAGTCAAGGATTCTCTTTTCTCTCTACTTTTTGCACATCTTTTCGTAATTAGCCAAAAAAGTCATCCCAAATATACAAGTTTTTTTTATCTACCTTTTTAACCAAAAAGTTATTAAATTAGCATGTTCCCAAACGAGGCCTTATACTCGTTTGGGTGTTTGGGAAGTTATTTATTTTAGTAGATTATTTTAATTTTTAGTTATTTTAGTAGGCTAATTTTTTTGTGTTTAGAAAGATGATTAGATTTTTTTGTAATTAGATGTGATATTTGTGAGAAAAAAAATGAAATGATTATAAATTAGATGTGACATTTTGTCTTATTAACTATTTTAGCTTATGTTATCTTTTGTGAATTTTAGCTAAAAAATATCTCAAACCCAACTTGCCAAACACCCTATAATCTAAATAAATTAGTCAACTTTTATTTTGTATAGTTTTGGAGAAAAGGGACTGATCAGTTAGTTTTACAGGGTGCTCTTTTTTTCTTTTAATTCAAATAAAATAAATATGGCATCCCTTGTAACCCTAAGAATACAATTTGGGAAGTGATTTTATTTACCGGAAATCATTTGATTGGTGTTTAGATCCGGGATCAATCATGTGTAACCAATTACTTGATCGACATAAGACCTATGGCCATTGTTCCTCTCATAGTTGCCAATTTTTGGAATTATTTTAGGAATTATTTTTTTAAAAAAAATAAAGAGTTATTGGTGTGAGGTTTGATTCTTTCCTATTTTTCAAGCATGCTTAAAAATTCCCCTCTTTCATTCCCATACCAACACCATGAGCTCGCTCCATCAACATTCAGCTAGAAAAATCTGAGATTTGTATATGAATTGTAAGTAAATGAGTTTTGTTTTGGAGAATAAATTGCAGAGCTTTATTCTGACAAAATTAACAATATATAGTTTATTGAATATGGTACTTAATACATTGTTGAAAATTTGAGTGCCAAGAAGTAAATCCCAACAACAGCAATACAAGGCAAATTAAGTTTAAAACTTCAAGACTCTAAAATCTCTGCATATCTATATCCAACAACATGACACACTTCTAAAATAAAAGTAAAATTCAAAGTCAAGTGTCAAGAAGATTAAGTGATTTTTAATGTATTCCCTATATCAATCACGAATCGATATCTAACATCGGCTTTCGCAAGACGCTTCATTGCAGTGTTCACGTAGTCCATTGGTATCACCTCGATGTCAGCCGTTATGTTGTGTTTTGCTGCAAAATCTATCATCTCTTGCGTCTCTTTTATGCCTCCAATGCCACTCCCAGCCACTATCTTCCTCCCTATCATTTAAACATTGTGTATTATTACATATCATTTCTAATTCAAAGAGCCAAGAAGGATAAAAGAGACAGAAACATGAGCATGACACCTTAAAAATTAATGCATGAAACAACATACACTAACTTAAGCCTTTCGATATATTTATGCCAGAAAAAAGTTAGGTACACAGAATCTAATCATAAAAAATATACCGAATACTCACATGGGTGTATGTGAATGTTTGGTATTTTTTACGGTTCAATTCTATGTGTATAAAAGTGTTGTTTATTTATACACACATTCCTCAAAACAAATTAGTTATGTTAATGCTTACCCATGATCAAGGGAAAGACTGGAAGCTCAAGTGGCTTCTCTGGTACACCAACCAAGACAAGCTTTCCATGAGACTTCAACAGACCAATTAATGGTAGGAGAGGGTGAGGTGCAGAAACAGTATCTATAATACCATCCATCGTGCCCATAGCAACCTATTTACATCCAACATATCAAATCAACAAGAAAATAAGTATCTAATCAAGATTCTTAACTTTAAAAAAATAAAAAATAAAAATTTGAGCCACCCAATAGATGAGTCACACTAAAGTGGGGTAGAGGGTAAAATGTATCCAAATTTCTTTTCTCTCCCTTTTTAGAGTGTATCCATGACTTGAAAAAGAAAAAAAAAATGGTTACCTGCATCTGATCTGGGTCATGACTAACTAAAAATGAATCTACACCAAGCCTTTCAACAGCTTCCTTCTTCTTGGCAGGAGAAGTACTGATCACTGTTACTTTAACACCCAAAGCCTTGGCAAATTTCACAGCTGCATGGCCAAGCCCACCAAGACCAACCACACCCACATGGATACCAGGCTTGTCTAGTCCAAAGTATCTTAGAGGGCTATAAGTTGTGATCCCAGCACAAAGAAGAGGAGCACAAGCATCAAGAGGAAGGTTGTCAGGGATGCGAATCACAAAGTGCTCATCAGCCACCATGATGTCAGAGTAACCTCCATAGGTTGGAGTTCCATCATAGTATGTGGAATTGTAGGTGAGTAATAGTTTGGGACAGTAGTTTTCAAGATCGTTACCACAACTGTCGCAGGAGTGACATGATCCAACCATACATCCCACCCCAACTTTGTCTCCAACTTTAAATTTTTGTACCTTGCTACCTACCTCAGTTACTACACCCACAATCTCATGCCTGCATTTGTCAATTCAATTGGCATATATCAGATTGTGTTAATTAAGCAGTTCGGAGTAAACATTTTCATGTCTATTCATATATTAGATTTTATTTATTGATTCGAATTTCATAATCCAACCAAGTACATTCTTTCTAATTAAGGTACACCAAATATAGAAAGTGTTACACAAAACACAAAAAATGACAGAACTCTAGTATCCTTGGGTTGTTTGGTATTTTAGATAAAGTTTATCTTTTTTATTTAAAACAAAAAATTCACAATTATAGTCTATATTTTAAAAAATACTGCTGTATATGAAAACAAGATTATGCCTAGTAAGTTAGTAACCTTTCAGAATGTTTATATGTATTTCTGCTTGTATAAATAAATATATATAAAGGAAGATTGAGAGAAAGTGCATGCAATTGTACCCAGGAAGGCAAGGATAGCTGGTGTTGCCCCATTCATTTTTGATTGCATGAAGGTCGGAGTGACAGATCCCACAATACAACACCTTAAACGCCACATCTTTTTCTCCAGTTGCTCTGCAACACACAAAACCACCATGCTTGATTAAGATCAATAAATATCGTCTTTCCGATTAAACAGTAGCACGCAATTGGATTGTTTGGTACACCTTACATGGCTGCTTACATTTTTTTTTTGGTTAAGACTAAAGTGCTACTGTTAGTTTTTTCATCCAAATTAACGGAAGGTGTATTACATACATCATTTTCTAGAGTAGGTTTTATTTTCTAAAAAATTAGAATAAAATTACTACAACAAAAGGACAATTTTACCCTCACTTTCTCAAAACCTAAAATTATATTAATATGTTAATTAAAATAAAATAAAATATAATATAATTAAGAATTGATCTACAATATAAAACATAATTAAGCATTGATTTAAAATATAATTAAATAAAATATAAAATAAACAATAATTAAGAATTGATCTAAAATGTAATTAGATTAACATGTTACAAATTATAATAAATAAAAAATAATTTAGGATTAATTGTGATCAAAATATAATTAAATTAAAATTAGATAAAAAAGTTAGTAATTACAATAAATAGTTAAGAATTTAGGATTAATTGTGATTTAATTGAATTAATACTAGACATTGTAAATTATGTGTATGAGAGATGAGAGAGAAAGAAAATAACAAAAAAATATTAAGTTTGAGTAAATTATAGTTATTTTATATCTATAGTTAATTGTGCTAATAGTTATATTTTAGTCTAAAACCACGAGTGAGGCATATGACTATTTTTAAAAAGAGAAAAGTTAGGCATTATGAAAATTTTTTCATGAAAATGATCATGAAAGAGTTATGATCCTTCGATTATCTAGTGCGTGGTGCTTTATTCTAAATATAATCCAAGGGTTACAAAACTTTCATAATTATTTTTATGAAAGGCTTTTCATGATACCTAACATTGCCGTTTTAAAAAATGGGGTAAAGTGCTATCAAATCATACCACAAAGGTCAAATTAAATTTTCCCCTTTTTTAAAAAAAATCTGTGCTAAAGCTTTTGGTGCATCTTTTGCTTATAATTGACTAGACAAAAATAGCTTAAATATTGTTATTATTTTGTGAGTATTAGCAAATACAAAAAATTGTAAGTATTTACCATTTTATCTACAGTTATTGTTATTATTATTATTATTATTATTTTAATGGCCAATTTTTAGTTAAAAAGATCAAAAAGTTAATAAACTATTTGCTATAAGCTATAAAAAAAAGTTAAATATCACATTAACATTTTCGCTAAGGTTATGTTTGAATTATCAATTTAAATAGAAATAATAAAAAAAATTCAAAATGGATAAATTTTTATCAACATTTTTCATTCTCCTTTTTAAATTCCTTCTTAAATCCGTAATCCAAATACAACCTAAAACAATAACTATTTTAGTTATTTCCTAAACAAAAGCTATCTTGGCTCATAAAAAAAAAAATTAAAAAACCAAAAAATCATAAAAGTAAAGTTGTGTTTAGTTTATTAATTTTGAAAGGATACATTTCACACATTTTTTTTTTTTTTTTTTTTATAATTTCTGTTTCCAAATCTTGAACCAAACGCAACATTACTTTGTTATAAAATATGAGTTCACCTAGGTCCCGTTTATTTTTAGAGGTAGAATGGAGGAAATTAATAGTGAGGAGATTAAGTAAAATTATGTTTGTTTTGATGCAGTTGTTTGTGTGGGGATTGTTAAATTATTACCTTATAAAAAAATATAAAATATTAAAATAAGTAAAACTATGATTTGTAATTAACAAAAAATACAAAACATTAAACATTAATGTTAAAAAAAAAGCTCAATATGTTAAAAAAAAAAAAAAAAACTAATCCCATGGACTAATTTTCTAATACTACTTCTACCTTCTCCATCTCGATCCTAACACCAAGGACTATCCTAATCCTATGGGATTATGGATCCCCTCTCCATCTCTCAAAACAAACCCAACATATAGTGGATTCCATATCCATCTCAATCTCAATTTCAATCCGACCTTTATCCCCAAAATAAACGGGGTCCTAGAGCGTTCGACAAGAAAAGGGGAAATTTCAATTTCAGTTTGAATTATAAAAAATAATTAGTCATAAAACTTAAAAACAATATTTATTAAAGCCATAATCTTTTTATCATTTTTTTGAATAATTTCCCCTAAGGAGATGGATGTAACAAATTACCTTCTGGAAAATTGGAAAGGAGAGAGGACACCAGATGTGTCTCTTGCTGCCCATCCAAAGGCCTCCACTGGGTGTGATTTTTCCATGATCTACCTCTGGCTTTCACCACTTGACTGAATGAATATGTAATTTAGAGAGAGAGAGAGAGAATGCAAAACAATTTGGGTACATATATACAGGGTTGGTTGGGGTTGGCATTGAATGGGATGACGTAGTCGATGACATCAGCCATTTTCTGGTAGGTTTGGGTACTTTCAAATTTCTTTTCACGAAAATAATTCTCACATTATTCACGTGTCGTTTGCGAAATAGATTCACTTTTTGATTTTTTAATTTTTTTAATTATTTTAACTTGAGCCTAAAAAGTCTGATTTGAGAAGAATTTTTTTGATTTTTTCAATTTTTTGACTTTTTGGTAAGGTGTTTTCATGTTAAATAACCGAACTGCCCTTAAAGTAATTTTTACATTTCAACTCTTTATCGTCCTTCTTCCACGTCAGCGTCATTGTACTGTTTTTTGTTATTTATTTATTATTTTTTTTATTAGGCGTATTTTTATGGTTCTTTTTTTTTTAATTTATGTTTCTTTTTTTTTATACATTAATTTGTTTTTTTTTAATTTACGTTTTTGTCATTTTTATTTTTATTGGCATACATTAATTTGTTTTTATTTTTTAAAAATAGGTTTTCATGTGTTTTATTTATTTTTAAATCATGTGACAAATGCTAATTTCTGTTTTTATTTTTTTGGATGAGGTGTATTTTTGTGGTTGTTTTTTTTTAATTTACGTTTTTCTCATTTTTTTTTATTTGTATACATTAATTTATTTTTATTTTTCAAAAATGGGTTTTCATGTGTTTTATTTTTTTCCAAATTACGTGGCAAATGCTAATTTTTGTTTTTATTTTTTTTTTTTGGATGAGGCTTATTTTTGTGGTTCTTTTTTTTTTTCATTTACGCTTTTGTCATTTTTTTTTTATTTGTATACATTAATTTGTTTTTAGTTTTCAAAAATGGTTTTGCACATGTTTTCTTTATTTTTAAATGATGTGGCAACTGCTAATTTATGTTTTTTTTTTTGTTTTTTTTGGAAAAACGTTTTTTCATGTAATTTATTTAAAATGATGTGAAAAATCATAATGTATTGCCATGGCACATGATAATTTGTGATGTCTATTTTGCCTTTTTGTTTTAAACAGGTCTTTTTATATTTTTAAATGACGTGGCACATGATAATTTTTGATTTTTTTTTTCCTTATTTGTTTGACCTTGTTCTTTTTTTTTGAAAAGGCTTTTTTCTATGGTTTTTTTTTTTTAAAAAAAAAATTAGGCACGTCACCAACTGAAAGGGATTATATTTCCGTGTAAACACATACATATTGTACATGATAATATATTTGAATACAGTCTGTTCCACATGTGTTACCAATGTTAGAACCCTATGAATATTAGGACATAGTTTTATATATTAAGCTTTTAAATATGGCATAAATTCATGTACGAGCGAGCATATTGACTTTTTGTTTATTTGGAGTCCAATACCAATTTATAGGAGTGACACATGGCTATTTATTTGTAGTGGTCAAAATTCAAACACTCTATATTAAATAATGATGGGTTGTTGTGGTTGAATCACTTTAGTTGGATGAAACCATTTATTTGCATCACTTTTCCAAGTGTACTGTAATAATTACATTTTAGTTGGTTGAATCACTTCAGTTATATCAAGTATACTATAATAATTACATTTTTTTTTTTTTAATTTATGTTTCTTTTTTTTCTCTGTTTCTTTTTTTTTTTTATACATTAATTTGTTTTTTTTTAATTTACGTTTTTGTCATTTTTATTTTTATTGGCATACATTAATTTGTTTTTATTTTTCAAAAATGGGTTTTTATGTGTTTTATTTATTTTTAAATCATGTGACAAATGCTAATTTCTGTTTTTATTTTTTTGGATGAGGTGTATTTTTGTGGTTGTTTTTTTTTAATTTACGTTTTTCTCATTTTTTTTTATTTGTATACATTAATTTGTTTTTATTTTTCAAAAATGGGTTTTCATGTGTTTTATTTTTTTCCAAATTACGTGGCAAATGCTAATTTTTGTTTTTAATTTTTTTTTTTGGATGAGGCTTATTTTTGTGGTTCTTTTTTTTTTTTCATTTACGCTTTTGTCAATTTTTTTTATTTGTATACATTAATTTGTTTTTAGTTTTCAAAAATGGTTTTGCACATGTTTTCTTTATTTTTAAATGATGTGGCAACTGCTAATTTATGTTTTTTTTTTTTTGTTTTTTTTGGAAAAACGTTTTTTCATGTAATTTATTTAAAATGATGTGAAAAATCATAATGTATTACCATGGCACATGATAATTTGTGATGTCTCTTTTGCCTTTTTGTTTTAAACAGGTCTTTTTATATTTTTAAATGACGTGGCATATGATAATTTTTGATTTTTTTTTCCTTATTTGTTTGACCTTGTTCTTTTTTTTTGAAAAGGCTTTTTTCTATGGTTTTTTTTTTTTAAAAAAAAAATTAGGCACGTCACCAACTGAAAGGGATTATATTTCCGTGTAAACACATACATATTGTACATGATAATATATTTGAATACAGTCTGTTCCACATGTGTTACCAATGTTAGAACCCTATGAATATTAGGTGGACTATTATATATTTCCTAACGTTCCGTTATTACGCAACTACACTAACTTGTCGCGTATGCGAAGTCGCACCAATGTCATATGCGGGTCTTCATCCCCAACTATTAAACCATCCTCGTCATGTTCAACTTCTGGTATGGCATTTTCTATTGTCATAGCCTCTTCCTCGTTGCAGATTGGGTGAACAGTTGGATTACTTGTATTTCGCCGTATATAATTATGTAATGCTATTGACACACCTACTAATTGAACTTGCACATTTGCAAAGTCGTACCGAGGCATGTCTCTAATAAACCCCCATCGATTTTTCCAGGCACCGAAAGTGCATTCCATAACACTGCGTAACGACGAGTGAACTTTGTTAAATAATTCCCTTGGGGTTTTTGCCGTCCTGTTCCGTTGACTACTTCGGAATTGTTGTTGGTGGTAACGGCTGCCTTTGAAAGGTGCTAGGTAACCTACCTGCTTTGGATAGCCAGCATCGATAAGATAATATTTTCCTGCAGACAGTACAAGAATTTATGACACGAAAATCAACATTGTACTTCATTTTGAAGTAACAATGTTTGTCGAAAAATTATACCCCCATCGATTTTTCAATGCAATGTGTTACCTTCTTTAGGATGTGGAAATAGGACATTGTCATTTGTTAGTATCTTGTTGAAGATGCGACTATCGTGCATACTTCCTTCCCATCCGCACGAAATAAAGATGAAACACATGTCAAAATCGTACGCGACAATGATATTTTGTGTGTGACAATATTTCCTACCGAAATATGTTGCTGTATCTGGCCTCGTAACCTATGCACTTATATGTGTTCCGTCTATGGCTCCAATACAGTCCTGCCAACAACCCAATTGTATTGTTACTCCTATGGGTACATGTAATGGTTATTTTCATACGTCACGTCCACTTAAAAATAAAAACAACATAACTAGACTTGGCACAAATAACTGGGCGAGATTTTTCAATAGTACCTTGAACGGTAGGTATTTCCGTTTAGACCGTACGTATGGATGTATACGATGCTGACTATATGTGGGCCGGCAATGAACAATAGTGAACTCTTTCATGGAAGTTAATACGTTATGCATGTGCTGAGACACAGTCTCCCCCAAATGTTAGAACCGTTCTTGGATTTCCCGATTTTGCATCCCTTTCAACACGTGGATAAACATTGCAATGGTTTCTTCAACAGCTAATCCATGTGGACGTTGCAGTACTTGTAACCCAAAATCATTTACTAATGTCTCACACAAAGCGGCAAAAACTTGCTTCGGCATGCAAACATTTTTCTCAAATCGACTCATATGGCCCGCATATAGTTCGGATATCCATGCATGCCGGGTCAATATAGATGTGCGACATGGCGTTTTAGCCATGTGTTTTTGGTACCACTCTTTGACATACTGGCATGCTTGTAGAAATGTCCAGTTGTTTTGTTATTGCAGCTGTACGGCCATTTGATTAAGCATTTCTCTTAAATCGTCATTGTTGCTTCCATCCCAGGGATTCATTACGTCTTGGTTCTTGCGAAACCTACAACAATGGCACGATTTCAATCAGTTTGCACATGATGCATTGACTCAAATGTAATAACAGTTTGCAATTACAGAATGCCGACATAATTCTTAATGTAAAAAATTTGCGTCACCAATGCCATTACTAACACGTAACATTTCATATAACTGCACGTGCAATGATATGAATTAAACAAATAGTGAACCTGGTCTTAATTGTTTAGAGGGGGACCATTAACACAGCAATGGCATTACTAACACAACCACAAAAGATGACGTCAATCTAACATAACGGTTTTGCAAACAAAATAAATAAATACAAAAGCACCACACGCAGCCCGTCATTGTGCATTTCATTTCCATAAATAAAATTCAAACACAGCCATCCCATTCCATCCCAAAAAACCATACAACCATTCTTTCATCCTAAACTCGGACAAACATGCAAACCTTTGTTCACCATAGCTAAAAAAAAAAAAAAAAAACTGAAAGAAGTTTGAAACATGCACACACAACCATCATGTTTTAGTACAGTTTCAACAATAACTTAAATAAAAGGTTTGCAAAGCAAGAGAAGGGCAGGCATCTTCAACATTACACCGCTATATCACATTCGGCGAGCCCCAAACAGGTTCGCAAATGGCGCCGACGCAGTACACTGGAGCTGCTTCTGTGTAAGCCACCCTATAATGTGGTTGTCATCAGGCTGACACATCATCACCTCCTGGTAATCTGTGTTATCCATAAGTGTCGAGGCGAAATAAAATAGCAGCGTACCAATAAGGGATGGAATATTCGTCAGCCGATGCATGCACTCCAAAATTGTGTACAGTGATTCGATACCTGTGAGGTGCCTCACCGTAACCTGTTGATTCTGGGTACGAACCACATTTGTTAGATTGTTCATGCTTTCCGCAATAACTAACGCTCCATTTGTTGCCTTCTTCGACTTTGAAACACTTGTTGATGGCGTCCTTCTCCTTTTTCCCTTTTCAGTCGAAACAGCTTCGAGTGAAGAATCTGAATCCACGTCCTGTACTCCTGCGGGTATCGAATCAGCAAATGGCTGTGCTCCCAAACTGTGCACAGAATCATATGAGTCATCGGTAGCTTCAAGAAGTTTCTCTCCTGGGGTCCAATGGTGCTTACCAGTAGCTGATGCCTCGGTAAATACCGTCTCCATTAACTCACGATGTTCCAAAGTTTTTTTCTTGAACTTGGCACACACATTGTTTATCTGCACAATTAGAGATTTATGAAAGCGCAAGACGTTAAATTTCATATAACAAGTAATGCAGTTAACGAAAAAGGTTAAATTTACTGGTAACAGACAAATATAAAACGAAACAAACATGTACTTACCGATTCCATCTTGTCCCACTACTCCTCAGATGCCTGAAACATGCCAGTTTCGCTGTCAAACCCTATCCCTAACACTCCTTTGCTTGAATCCATCAACTTTGTCCACGCTTGCCACTCTTTTTTCAAACTCATGTATTTATTCTTCAACAGTTTAAGGCCATGTTTTCTTCCTATTTCTTTCTCAAATTTCCTTGCCAACGACTTGTACCCTGCTTGGCTGAGGACTAGGAATGACCGATTTCCTTTTGTAATCTCATTTGCAATCAATTGCAGGAAAATTCAGATTGAGTCACTGTCCCATGAGGTCTTGTGGCTGAACAGAGTCTGTGTCTCTTCAAGACTGCTTGACTTCTCTGTTACAATGCCTTTGCTTTTGGATTGGGTACGTGGAGAAGTACGTATGGAAGCCATTACCAACAACGACGCAACTAACTAATGTACGGTTACAAAATATCACCATCACATATTTTTGTTGTTATATACAAACGTATAAGCCCATAGCAGAATAATTTAAATTGGTTGCACGATGTACAATCTATGCCCATGAACAATAAACAGACAAATAGGATGGTAAATTTGACAACATATAACCATTGCACATTAATAAAATATATAAATAAACATGCAACTGAGCGGTAGACATAGTTATGATAGTCATTAATACGTCTACCCTTTTCTAGTGGAGGAACGCAAAGCAAGCTTATAGCCATACTAAAACATACTAACAACATACTAACAACCTCCTAACGTTTCAAACATATTAACAACATCCTAATGTTCCTTACATACGCAACAACAAAATTACAACGACAATGCATAGCACAGACACAATGGTCTTAAGGAGACGCAAGGATTGTTGAATGTGTATGACATCATCCCGCAATTACATGACAATGTCGTTTCTGGATGACGCATAGTCCGTGCTCTCTCGCCTTGGTTATTCGCACCAACCAATCCAACTGACACAGGGCTGATGAGTGCAAATGATGAAACTATTAGTTAATGGGTTCTTAATGTTCATGCAGTTATGACCGGTAATGAATTGGGCACTCACCACAGGATGGAGACATGCAAAGTAGGGACGCCCTGGATTTTTGGTGGACCTTGAAATCTTAACAATACATGGGCCATGTCCACAGCCACACATTCGACGTGGCCATGTACTGGAAGTTGCACTAGATGTAAACGAAGCCATGCTATGTTTGACAAACATTCGAAAGTAACAATGAATCATAGCAGTAATTAGTTTATGATATCCATATTTCAGGTTAAACATGAATTGAATATGCTGATGCACAAGTTTCATAGGATGGGTATACAAACTCATTATTTTATTCATTTTATATTAAAGAAAAGTAGCCTACCAGTTATGGTTTCACTGTCAACGTGTTTTTAAAATGAAAATTTAAACTAAAATTATGACAAATCCCCTCATTATATAAACTGGATATTTTCCTTCCTCACATTCTCACCTTCAATTAAAATTATGACAAATCGCATGCACTGAAATCTTTTTCTACATTTCTGATAAATATGTTAATGAAAACAAAAATCAATTACTTTCTGCCATATGCAATCTCATGCTTCAATTGCAAGTTTACATTTATGAATCCACAGTATAATAATAGTGTAGTTAAAGTTCCATAGATTTTCTAATAACAGTTTATAATAACAGTGTAATAAGAAGTGAAGTTGAATAACCACACAAAAAAAAAAAAAACTCAGATATATGAATCAAGCTAGATATGAAGACAAATTTTTTGAAGAGACATGGAGACATTCTCAGATTTATGAAGACAAAAGCAAAGGGTTTTATTCAGATTTCAGATTATTATCAATACATAAATTTAGATTTCATATTTCAGCAAAAAAAAAATTGATTAGAAATTCCAGATTTCCAAAAAAAAAAAATCAGAAATTCAGATTTCATAATTCAGAAAAATTAGATTTCATTCAGCATTCAGAAATCAATAACACTTTGATATGAATTTTTTTTTTAATGAGAATTATAAGAAACCAAATAAAGAATTTACAAAACTCAAATTTGTTTTGTAAATTCAGATTTTTTGAAAAGACATGGAGACATTCTCAGATTTTTGAAGACAAAAGCAGAGGGTTTTATTTAGATTTCAGATTATTATCAATACATAAATTTAGATTTCAGCAAATAAATTGATTAGAAATTCTAGATTTCAAAAAAAAAACAGAAAAAATTAGAAATTTAAATTTCATAATTCAGGAAAATCAGATTTCATTCAGCATTCAGAAATCAATGACCACTTTGATATGAATTTTGTTCTTTTTTAATGAGAATTATAAGAAATCAAATAACCAATTTACAAAACTAAAATTTGTTTAAGACACATGGAGACATTCTTTTTGTAAATTCAGAATTTTTTAAGACACATGGAGACATTCGCAGATTTATGAAGACAGAAATTTAGATTTTAGATTTCAGCAAAAAAATTGATTAGAAATTCCAGATTTCAGGAAAAAAAAAATCAGAAAACATTAGAAATTTAGATTTCATATTTCAGAAAAATTAGATTTCAGCATTCAGATTTCAGATTAGGCACAACAATCAGATTTATGAAGACAGAAATTTAGATTTCAGATTTTAGAAAAAATCATATTAGAAATTCCAGATTTTAGAAAAAAATAGAGAATCAGAATTCAAAAAAAATCATATTTCGTAAATTCAGATTTCATATGTGAAGAACACCTCAAATAATCGTTAAAAAAATGTGTTTTCCACCACTAATCGGCCGTGACGACCAGTTTCCATGACTGAGCGTCCATCAGAGTGAGGTTTTGCAGTGACTGCCACAGATATAACAGTGGGTTTCCCATTGTGCAAACTGAAATGAACAAAATGTAACCCAACTAATTGGAGGAAAATTTTGAAGCAGCAACAACAATGGGTTTCAAAGATAAACCGACCAGATCGAGTTAAAGGATAGGCTATTCCGCAAACAAACCAAAAAAAAAAAGAAAAGAAAACCAACCATTACCTCAAAAGCAGTCGTGTTTGAGAGATTGAGTTGCAGGGTCGCCACCGATACGAACTCCGGTGGCGTTGGCCTGTCAGAAGTATCGTTATTCTTCTTTCCTGAGCAATGCTGTTTAGATCGCCTCCTTCGCTTCAGCGGTTGTGGATGACCTAATTGGTGCAAAATGTGTGTGTGGAGGGGGTTAGAGGCTGTGATGGTGTGAACACAGTGCCAGGGGTAGTTTGGTACTTTCACCCCACCTTGTATGTAAGTTATGCCTGTGAACCCATTTTGTTGGTTAGTGGCTAATTTAGCCTATTTTGGACTGTAGTGGCTATTTTAGCCCAAAACTCTATTGCCAAACAGAGCTTCAAGTGGAAAATGTTATCGACTCAAACAATTTGTCAATTTTTTTTTATTAAGGGTTTGTTTGGCATGTCCATTAAGACTAAAATAATCATATAAGATAAAATTGATTATTTTAGTTAAGGGCAAATTGTAAACACATATGTGATTAAAACACAAATCGCCCTATGTGGTTTTAAAAATTACATTCCACCCCCTGAGATTTTTAATTTCATAACAAATCGCCATTTTTATTAATAAATCATTAAGTCAATTAACAGTTTTTAATGATGTTAAAAATATGTTTCAA